TTATGTGTTGAGGAGTGGAGGGAAAAGATGAGGCTGGAAAAGTATGCTGTAAGGGTCCAAACACCAGACTAAGAAGTCATGATTTTACACTGTAGGCAGTGGGGAACCATGGAAAAGATGTGAGCCAAATGAAGTTCACTGTGGTTGCCGCATGGGAAGGTCATGCTAGAAAAGGAAACCTAGAAGGAATGAGTCACACTGATGGAATAGACCTAGCAAGGAGGAGAAAATAAGGCCCTGAATTCAAGTGGACAAATAAAAGAGATATTTTATAGGCTGACCTGAAAATGTTAACTAATGGATTTAATGAAAGGGAAACATGAAAAAGGGAGGAATCTGAGGTCAGAGCCAAGAAAGCCCTCCGAAATCATCCAATGTCAATTCAGTGTTTCATTATTTTTTCAAGTAAAAAATTTCTGGATCACAAATATTGTCAAACTCTCCTAAATTATCAAATGCAAAGTGTTTTTACATAAAACACTACACATGTGCATAAAATGAAAACTAAAAGTTGCTGTCCTATCATTCTAAGTCCCACTTCCATATTAATAGCTTCTGCTGCACCTTTCAAACAGTCTCAATGTTATACTAGCTTGTGTGTGTGTGTGTGTGTGTGTGTGGAATCCTTTTTAAAATTACTCATAATGGAATCATAAACTAGTGTTTTGGGGTTTTTTTCATTCAACAACATATATTAGAGATCTTTCCATGTTCACATCTGTAGATCTATCTCATCTGTTCTAATAGCCACCTAGTGTTACAGGTGTTGTGTCCTAATTAGAATCCCTTTTTAATGGATACTTAGGCTGTTTCAAGTTTTTTGCTGTCACCTTGCTAGAATATTCCTGTATATACAGTACATTTTGTGTGCAAGTATACCTGCATGTTCAATTCCTCTAACAGGAATTACTGGATCAAATGGTATGGGAATCTAAAATGCTGATAGATCTTACCAAATTGCCAAGATAGGACCCCCTGCTTCCCCCCTGCAATCCCTATTTCAAGGATGAAGGCAGCGAGACCAGGAGATTGTCAGGGACACACCTCAGAAGCTATTCTTGAACCCCTTCTCTTGCCTCTCAGCCCAGGATCCTTCCCTCTCTGAAATTTCAGTTTTTTGGGGTTTTTTTTAACCTTCACTGCGACTGGGAAAAGCCCTCCCCTCGCCCCATCCACCCCCATCTCCATACTTGGGGTGTCTCTCTCCCCTGCTCAAGCCGCAGGGTCCTCTCACCGATGGTTCTCATTGAGCAAGGAGAAAAGCGGGCCAAGGCGCAGTTCCGCCGCTTGCTCGCGGAGCTCGCTGAGCGACACCGCCTTCAGCACCGACTGCAGCGCGCGCAGTTCCTCCAGCGGCGCTTCCAGCCGCGACACCTCCCTCAGCAGCGCCAGCACCTGAGCCGCCATCATGCCCCGCCCGCTGGAGCTCCCCCGACTCCGCCTCACTTCCGGCATGCTTCTCCGAGTATCGCGAGATCAGCCGGGAGCAGCTGTGACTGCGAACCGCTGCGCCAATAGCAAGAGAGAGCTGGCGGAGCGCGCGCGCTCGGTCGCTACCGAGCCTCGCGAGACGAGGGGCCGTTAGGGCCGAGCCGACGGTTCCCAGTGGTTGCGGGGTCGCTGTTGGGCATCATCTTTGGCGCCGTTCAGCTGGTCACACAGTCGGACTTTCCGGTCGGCTTAGTATTTCCCCCTGAGGGCGAAGGCTCATCCAATGTCCGGCAAGCGGAGTAGTGAGAATGAGGACCAGCCGAAGGTTAAGAGGCTTCGCGGGCGGCCTCCTGGTTCTCAAACCCGGCTCTCGGCCCCGGCTAGGTCGGCTGTGGTCGAGGCTGCTGCGCCTTGGGCCTTGGGCAGCGGTTGAGGCTGCTCCTAGGAGGAGCAGAGGCAATGAGCAGCTTCCTGCTCCCGGGCCAGGCACTTATCTAGAGGAAGCGGAGGGGCCATGCCTCTGAAAGACAAGATGAAAATTCTCGGGAAGCTGGAAGAAGGCGTGAGTAACACCGACGTGGGCCGCTTTTTTAGCGTGAGTGAATCGACCGTGTGCACCATTAAGAAAAAACGAGAAGGCCATCATGGGGTGTCTCGCCCGTCTCCTCCAGGGTGCTCTGTGCGGTCCCCGTGACATAAACATCGGGAAGATGGAGTTAACCTTTTGGGACCGTACCATAAGGGACCGGTCTCCGATGCTGAAGGCCATCTGCAACTAGGCCAAAGGCATTACAAGCATCTGGTGGAAACCACCAGGAAGGACAACCCAGATAAATTTCATGCGAGCAAAGGATGGTTTGAGCAGTTTAGAAATCGTTACAGTTTGTGAAATTCAAGGTTGATGGGGGAGGAAGAACCGTTAAATGCCCAGTTGGCAATGAAGTATTCCAAGCAACTGCAGAAATTGGCAGAGCTAAAGGTTATGTGCCTCAGTAGATAGGCCTTAAACGCCAAGGACGTGAGCTTGTTTGCGAAGTGAATGCCTTCGAGTACTTTCAGGGGAAAAGACAAAACTCCAGAAATCTTAGAGGAAGCTCAGGAAAGGATTTTACTCATTTGTGGTCTGTGTGCGTGTGTGCACGCGAGCGCACCAATGCCACAGAGTGACAAAAAGATAAAACCATTGCTGCTTTATAAAGACTCTAATCCCACCTGTCTTTTGGAAAGAGATTAAAACGCCTTCCTGTTTTCTGACAATCATGCCCCAGAGTATAATTAAACATTGCCCTCTTTTTGGATTGGCTTTGTAATTCTTTTATCCATCAAGCCCAGAGTTATTTAGTAGAAAACAAAAAATCTTGAATTCAGAGTGTTGCTAATTTTGGACAGAGGTCCCAATCACCCAGACTCATTATTCTTTGCTCATCCAGTATCACACAATGTGATACCGTGCTTCTCCCTCTGGAAGACACTAGCTATCTTCAGCCTTTGGGTCAGGATATAATTGAAGCATTCAAGAGGTATTGCAAGAAGCATGTTTGACTGCTGACTATTGAAAAAAACCCTTGCCTTACTTTGAAAGAAACATGGCAACGGTACAACATTGCTGATGCTTCGGTAGTGATAAAAGATTGATGAGCTAAAACCTCATGGAAGCTTTGGGATGAAGTTGTCAATAATTTGCATGTTTCCCTAAAAGAAGCTGAGAAGAATCATAGAGTCTAAAAAACAGATGAGCTTTAAATGCCTCATTCTCGATGAAAGTGAAATTAATGAGCTACTCAAGTTTCAAATTTTGGTGATAACCAAGACAGAGTCTATAACTATAGATGAGGAAGAAGACAAATCTCTGGAATCAACCTAAGGAAATTGGATGCTGTCTCAGATTTCATTGATGTTGCAGTTGACAAGGATCCTTTGTTTTGGATCAAAGTTCGGCCTTTAAAAAAGATTTTAAAAAAATTGTTGTATACTTAAAAAGAAGTGCAAAAGAACTTCAAAATAAAACAGGAATTGAAGAAAGGGAGGGAAGACAATAAAGAGGAAGTGTGGGTGAAGGAGATGGATACATAATCTGTCTGAAGGGGAGTCTGAGTCTGAATTTTAGTCCAAGTCTGAGTCTGATAAGAGGAAGCAGATAGAAAAAGGGTAAGAAGCTCCAGAGGAAGAGCCTGAACCCTCAAGCAGTGGCACTAAGAATCTTGCTGTATCTGAAGAATCTGTCGAAACCGTAAATGCATGATTGGACTTTCAGAATCTAACCTTGGAATTGAATCGAGAGAGGAGAGGTGCCTGAGCTGAAGGGAAGAGAACCCAGAGGCAGTTTCTTCCAAATAACAGTTCATCTCTAGCCATCCTTTCCCTGTTGCCTCAACATCACCTTTATTGTGACCATCCTTATAATCAATCACCAGACACACATCCTTATCATTTAGTCATTCAGCAAACACTTATTGAGTCTAGACTGTGGTGTCCTGTGCTAAACTTGGGGATATCATCTCAGGATCTAAGGTAAATGGTCATTAACAGTGGCCTTTCTTACTAATGTAATAGGTATAAAAGATCACATTATTTCAGTGGACTTTGAATATAAAGGTTTTCTTAGGACCACTTGGCTTCATTTTCTCTAATTCTATTTTTTCCACAAATGCTAAATTCTTTAATTGCAAATGGAGATTTTCTGAGTTAACTGGTAGTTGCCATGAGACTACTTGCTCTTGAAATGCTGCCATGGTCTTACATTTTATAAAGCACTTTTACATTTATTAATGTTCTGTGTTAATCCTCACTTTAGACCTATGAAGAAGGTGTTATCCCTTCCTTTACCCCGCCCCCCAAAGCTCAGAGGTTAAGTTACTTGCCTGAGTCTGCACAGCTAATGATGTAAATGATAAGACTAGGGCTACAACTGATTTATTAACTACTTTGTCAGATACTTTGATGGAACGTGTATCAGGCCATTGAGAACTTATAATCCCAAAGAATGAGACAGTCAGGTGAACAGGTAATTTAAAATAAAACAGAGGTTGTGAACTGGCAGCCTGTTGGCTAGATATGGATAACAGATGTGTTTTGTTTGTCATGCCTAGTTTAAAACAATTGTAAATTGGTTTCCAGCATGTCCCCCCTTTTTGTTTAAGGTATATTTAGATACAACACAATTCACCAATTTAAATGTATGGTGTGTTGAATTTTTTTAACACTTGTGTAACTACCACCACAATCAAGATATAGAAGTTCCTTAATTTAAAAAGCTTACTTGTGCCCTTGTGCTCTCAATGCCTTCTCCTGTCCCAGTAATGTCATTTTAAAAATTAGGATAGTTCACTTTAAAGAGCTGGATTAAAAAACTGGAAACCCTGGCAACAGTGGACTCTGCATTCCCTGGAGGGCAACAGTCAGTCATTAGCTTGCAGCTCCCCTCGTTGATGTTTCATGTTGCAACAAAAGTGTGTCCCAAGTGCCTTAGGAACACAGGACTGTGGAATTAACTCTGGGGAAGGCTGCACAGAGAAGCTGGCCAGGAAAGGTGAATGAGTTCATAGGGAGAGCCGGTGGGAGCAAGAGTATCTATCCTAAGTCTAGGAGGATTTGAAGGGAGCTCCTGGGAGAAGGGGGTGATGGGGGGTCAGGAAGGCAGCCAAGCGTGCCTCACCTGGTGTTTTTTTGGCGGGCTGGGCCTGTATAAAGTGGAAGGGTTTAGTGTGTGTGTCTTAGTGTTCGTGTGCTGTGCTCTCGGAAGGTTTTATATACCTAAGAAACTTATATGTCTTTCCATCTGTACATCTCTGGGGATTTTATAATTTTGTTGTTAGAATGGGAAGGGAAAATTAGTATTTTTATTTTTGGATGGGTTGTAGGTCTGTGTAAGGTGCTTGGGTTAACGTTTCTAGGGAGATGGCAGTCCAGGGAAAATTCCTCCCGCTTTCCCCGCCCCCTCCACTATCTGGTTCCAGCCAGCCTGTCTGGGGCCGGACTGGGCTGTAGGGCACGGGAGGGCGGTTTAGGCCCTCAGTGCCCGCCCCTCCCCCCCCCATGCCGGCAACTCAGCCTGAGGCCACATTTGCTGCTGCTGTGCCGCTAAATTACAAGCGACGCCATGGATAGGCTGTGCTCACGGTGCCCTCTGCCAGGCTGCCCGAGGCCCTCTGTCCTTACATGCCTCCTGGTGAGTGCCCCACACTGGGATGTTACCAACTCCCTCACCCGTAAACTTCCAACGTGGGGACTGAGGGAAGAATGCACACTTCTCTTTTCTGCTTCTGCGGTTTTGAGCTGGGGACAGACAGGTAGGGACTGGACAGTAAAATCCCTGGAGGCCCCCTATCCACACCCCCCACCCCACCCCACCCCCGTGTGTGCTTCTGAAGTTTACCAGCATCCCTTCTTCACTCTTCGTGAGGAGGGGTGACTAGGCTGGTTCATTGCCTGGGTCAGGAAGCGGAAGGGGTGTCTGGGGGTGAGTACTTGTCTACCGGTCACATGATGGATTCTTTTCCTCGTGTTGCAGTTACATCTTGTTTTTCTGTATTTTTCTGGGGGCTTTGTTTTCTCATCTCAGAACTATCTTAAAATGTTAAGCTTTGAAGTGACTGTTTACAGAGTATGTCCAGTGCTGAGGTGGGAGAGGGGGAGGTGGAAAGGAGAACCCTAGGAGAGGGTCAACAGCGCAGGGGTCTAGCCGAGCTCTGCACCTCACTTTTGGTTCTGTCAGTTTCTGAATGTTCTGTCACAGTTACCTGTCAGTTGAAGGGTTATCTTAGAGAATAGTTGCAAGCACAGCCCTGTTTCAGTAGTACGGCTAGCTGCCGTTTCCACCAGCCTACCGACAGCGCCTGGCACATGGAGGTGAAATGAACTCGGTAAAACATCAACAGATGTAAGAGCCTGATATTTTGATTATGAGTTCATATAAGAGTTTCAATATATTTTTGGTGAGTTTATATGTAAGCCTATTTGCTCTGTGTTGCACTGAAAACTGCTGGCTGAAATGCCCCAGATCTCCCCCAGGAGTGGCTTTTTTTGGTTGGGTACAGGCCATTGCTCCTTTTGTTTGGAGCCTGCCGGAAGCCACCTTAGAGTCATGTAGTTGACATCTTTCAATGTTCCAGTATGTCCAGTTCTCTGCTAAAAGCACTGCTAACAGTGTGTGACCCAAAAACCTTCTCTACTTCACAAGGCTGTCGTTTTAATAACATCTTGCTGGTGTATTAATTTGCCAGTCTACAAGTATTTATTGAGAACCTGCTGTGTGCCATGAACTGTGCTGGGGATACAGCAAAGAGCAAAGCACGGTCCCTTTATTGAATTTGTGATTACAAATTATTTTTCCTATCTCGATTGCACCCATGGCAACTCTGAGATAGGCAGCACAAGTGTCATAACCTCCAATTTCTAGATAAGGCTTATAGAAGGAGAGGAAGTAACTTGTTGAAGGCCACAGGCAGTTAGCAGTACTGGACTAGAATTTAAATCCTGCTACAAACACACACACACACACACACACACACACACACAAATAAAAGCTTCATTGAAAAGTCTGGTTCTTTTTTTCTTGCATGGCCATTGCTTTAGTTCAGAGGACTAGTATGTTGAATTGGTGGTGTTGGTGGAGGTAGTGGGAAGGAATAAGAAACCCAACCCAGACAGGCCTCTAGTCAGACTGAAGCTAAAGACATAAAAACGCTGCTCAGGCCCTGCCAAGAAGTAGGAGCCAGGGCTTAGGCCATAGCATAAAAGGAGTAGGAGGACAGAGGTTTATTTGAGCAAGGCATGAGCCCTGGGCTGGGAGCAGGAGAAACATGCTCTTGTTCAGCCTGGCGTAAGTCACGGGGGGACTCCTTACAGGCTGCCTCTGTCCCTGTTAATGACTCCATTATAACCCCAAGCAGAGAACCCTGGAATGGAAGGTGCTTTCCAGTTCTTCTCATGTCTTTGTATTTGAAAATACGAATTATATCTGGAATGTCTTTTCCTCTCAACGTCACTGCCATCTTCTTAGCTCAGGATCTTAGCCTTGTTTCTGGATCGTTGTAATGGCCTATGTAGGCTATTGTCTGGTCACTCCCCATCCTTAGCTTCACTATATTATTACTACTTAAAAACCTCCAAAAGTACCCTATCACTTGAGTGCAAAGCCCAAACTCCTTAGCCTGACCCATTTCTTTATAGTTTTAGCTGGTCTCATTTTCTCGTGATTTCATACCCACAGACTAACAGCCATGTAGACCGTATATCTCATCTATCCCTAAATACCTCTGGAGTTTGTACATCCTGTCATTTACTTAGCGTCTCCCTCTCCTCTTGTAATCCTACTTATTAGTCCAGATCCAGTTTAGATGGTACCTTCTCTTCAAAGACTTTTCTTTCCTGCTCCCTCAGGTAGAGCCTTCCTTGTGGTCACCCCAGCTCTCAGATTCAGTGGCACAAGTTGTGTATCTTTAGAATTAGGCTACCCTTTCCACTAGCCTACCCACAGTGTCTGGCACGTATACAAAAGAATGGAGGTGAAATTAACTCCCTACAACAGCAACAGATGTAAGAGCTTGTCAATCATTCGTTATTCTCTCCACAGGATGATAGCAGTTCAGTGGTTGGCATTACCTCCAGTAGCAGTTTTGTACAATAAGAGTGGATTTCAAGTCATCCAGACTTGAGTCCAAATTCTGGGTTCAATTAAAAATTATGTGATTTTGAGCAAGCTCCTTGATTTCTGAGCCTCTACCTTTTTTTTATCATCTGCAAAATGAAAAGGGAAATATCTAGGCAGGAAAACTTGAAGCACTGTCGCTCAAGATCCCAGGAGTAATTTTGTGGATGGCAAAGGGGGGGTGAGAAAACGACGCTCAGCCTTGGTTCCGGTCTGCTTGAGCTGGCAGGGTGAATGGGTCATATCACTGCTGACCTGTGCTTTTCTTTTCCCACCATTTAGATCCTGACTGTTTCTTTCCTGACATACCCCATGCTCAGGACCCTTAGCCTGCAGCTCCATTCAGCTGTCACCGGCAGCTATGTCCCTGGCACTTACTCCATCGTCTTTGTCAACTGTCCCAATGAGCAAATTGCCAGAGATATTGCCAGGTATGGTAAAGGTGCTTAGGTGCTGCCTCAGGATGCCCCAGGGAGCTACCGGGACGTTCCAGAGGGGCCACTTGGGGCCCTTCTCTTGCTTCTGACAACCACCCGTTCAGTGATGAACTACGCAGCTGTCTGCTTGGGGTGATAGGAGGAAGCAGCTGACCGATCACCCAGCGCATCCTGCTGCTGGGCCTGAAAGTGTCGAGTGGTGCATGGGGTGTGTAAGCGATATGGACCCACAGAAATAGGTGGCTCACCCAAGGTCTAAAGCCTTATCAGAGTGTGGTTTGGGAATGATTGGCATTGCCTGGGAACTTGCTGAACTGCAGCCTCATGCTCACTTAAACCTCCTGAATCAAACTGCAGCTTCACAAGATCCCCAGTGACTCCCATGCCCATTACAAGCTTGAGAAGTACTGGTCCAAACCAGTGACTCTTAATGCTGGCTACATAATGGGATCACTTGGCGACGTTTTCAAATGACCAGTTTAGGCCCCACATCACATTCTGACCTAATTCATCTGGAATGGGGTTAAATAAAGGGTTCTTCAGAGGCACCAGGTTGACTAACGTGCAGCTAGGGGGGTGGGTCACCCCTATCTGGATGATAAAACCCTTGCCTTCACTTTAGCCAGGAGTCTGTGAATATATGGCTATACCCTGGTCTCAGATTAGCAGTAGAGAAGGCCCTGTGTTACCAGCTTAGCAAAGGTGTAGGAATAAGGCACTTTGGTAGAACCAGCACTGTCAAGAAATTACAGCTTAACTAATGAGCAACAGCCTCAGAGTTAAGAGGGTGAACCCCAGATCTTGACCTCCAGGGTCAAATCCTGGCTTATCCACTTGCCAGTTACAGCATAAGTGCCTGCATATTAGACTTTCTGTGCCTCAGTTGCCCCATCTATAGAATGGGGATCATACTGGTACCTTGGGATGAATTCATGCGAAGTGTACACATGAAGTGCTCTATCAGTGGCAGCTCTTACTAATGACGTGTTACAAATGTCTTAACTCTGTATGTCTGAATACTGTATGTCTACTTATAAAACCACATACACTGGTCCAGGTGTCCATGAAGCGAGTTAAGAAAATTCATTACTTGGGCACTGGATAAAATGACCCGGCTCCCTCCAGATGTTTGAGCACCTGCACTCATGAGCACTTTACAGAAGCAGAGGATTATTACTGCCATTTGACAGATGGGAGACTGAGGCCCAAAGCCTCCTGTTTCTTCATTCTGGAAAATGAAGAAAACGTGCATGGTATGCTGAGGGCCAGGTGAAAGAAATGGGGGGAAGAGTTTGGAGGGTCAAGGAAGATTCCTTGGAAAAGATCAGTGGTTGAGTTTGGCCTTGAGGGATAGAGAGGCTTCCGATTAATCAACAGGAGCAAGGAGAACTTTCTAGGCAGAGAAGAGAATACAGATGGATTGGAGTTGTTGTTGTTTGGGGAAGGCACGGTGATGAATGTGGGCTAGTAATGAAGACAGTAGCTAACATTTAATGAATGCATACAGTACCAGTCATCGTACCAGGTAAGGGCTTTGTATACCTTGTCGCATTTAATCCTCAGCAATCTAATCATGTAGGTACTGTTTTTATCCCCTTTTGTAGGGCCTTTAGAGAATTAAGTGATTTGTCCACAGTTACGGGGCAGACTTAGATTTTGAACCCATGTGTGAGAGACTCTAAAGCCGTCTGGCCCAACTCGCCACTTGTAAACAGATGGGAAACAGGCTCAGAAGCGGGCCCTGAGGCTGGGCAGGGGCTCGGCAGACTGCAGAGGGTTTCAAGTGGGGCTGGCCAGCTGGGTTTTATCGCGTGGGCTGATCTAATCCTCATCACTCACGGGGCTCTGCTTTCTTTCCAAAGGTCGGTGCATCCTTTTGAAATCCCGGAGGTCTTCAGTCTTCCCATGGACCAAGGAGATGTGCACTATTTAAAGTGGCTGAAGGAGAGCATGGAGGAGGCCTGAGTTGGGGAGGCCTTCTGTGGATCCTGCTGGCTGCCTCTAGCCTCCTGGCATCAGCGGCACTCTGCCTCCTGGCATCTTGTCAGCACAGAGGAACTAAGGAACTCGTGGAGGCTGAAGGTCCAAGGCTCCTGAGGCTAGAAGAGGCAGCTGGCCAGTCTGGCCATGCAAGAGCCCAGTGGAACTTGTCTCTGAGTGCTTCATCACTGGGCCTACCTCGAGTGTCTAGGATGTAATTACCCTCTTGGTTCTCATGAGGAGGAACGGACCTAATGACCTGTTTACCTGGAAGCATGTGGGATGAATGCCACTTTCTAGGGGAGCTGCAAGTGCTTTATTCAAAAGGATGAATTGCTAATGGTGCAATTTCAGGGGCAAGCAGAATGATTTCTCCCAGCTAAGGATGGTGTTTGTTACTCCTGAGTCCTCAGGAGGTGGGCCTGGGGATGGGTTTAGGAGTGTGTATAGGACTAGGGGAATATTAGGGCTTAGACACACTCTCATGAGTTGAGAATAGATTTTCTTTCCTAGCCTGAATGACATCAGAAGGTTCTAGTGCTTTGCTCAGCGGAGACAGGTTCTGAGCCCGCCATACTAACCTTTTTACTTGAGCATTGAAATTGAACATCCTAAAGTAGGGAAAAGCCCTGGGAAATGGCTAGACCAGTTTTCTGACTTGCTCCACAAAGCCCCAGGGGTTGACAGAAGGCACCCTGGGGACTGCCTGGGTGGGGATAAGTACATGAGGCCCCCATACTTCAGCCAGTGCAACTGTGATTGTATTAGTTTTATGTGTTGAACTCGCCTGTGATATTTGGGTGGTAGGGTTTTTTTTTGTAAGTTTTCTTTGTTAAAAGTTTGTAAACCAGTGGCCTAAGCCAGTCTCCACTGTAGCGGTTACTGAGGGAAACTGAATGGCACAGAGGTGCAGAAAGGGGGTGTGCTGACTGAGTTGTGAGTGGCACAGCTGAGGCTGTTTACCCAGTGTCTGGCGCTCCCCACCCCTGTTCCATGGGTCGCAGGTGGAGGAGGGCAGGGCAGGCAGAGTCCTGTGGGGTGAGAAGAGACTTGACCTAGGCCCCCTCCAGGAATCTGTCACAAGGTTACTCCCCTCTGGGGAGCCCATGGGCGGTTTGGTGAGGGTCCCACAGACATCTGTGGTGTCCTGGGCCTTTCTTCCCAGAGGGCCTGGTGTGGGGAGCGGTAGTGCTAGACTCTCATTCTGACACCTGCTGCGCTTTTTGGACCTTAGTTCCTCCAAATATAAAATGGGGGCAGCTCTCCAAGGGTGGTTCTATGAAGACCTTTCAGGGACTTCAGGCTGAGGCCCTTCCAAAGGCCCAGAGAATTCTTTTCTGATAGCCAGTGTGGATTTTGGAGGGCTGCCTCAGGAGAAGAACAGAGATGATACTAATGATGCCCCTTTTTATAACAGGTGTTTGATACATAAGAAAACATTGTGTCAGGTAAACACCGCTGAAATTGTCCTAGGGACCCCAGGTGGACTGTGCCCATATTGCTTTCAGGATAAAGTCCAATTTCTTGGTCTGGCTTACAAAGTCTTTCATAACCTGGCCTCAGCTCCCTATTTGCATCTTCGCCTGCATCTCCTTTCCCGCATTTCCCTTTCCGGGAAAGTGAATGGCTTCAGTAAGCTGTGTGGTGTTACTCCTGTGTTCAGGCCATGCCCTCTGCCCGGATGCCCTTTTACGCGAATGCTTGTGAAATCTGGCCGCTCCTTTGCAAGGCTCCCCCGGCTGGAAGGAATCTCGCCTTGCCTTGGTGCCCCTGTCAGCCTTGTATGTTTAGTAGACTGGGAGCTGCTCGAGGTCAGGGGCATGTCGGAATCTATTTGATCTCTTGTACAGGGTTTGGCAAATATTTCCCCAATTGATGTTTTAAGGATTTGAATAAATAAAGCTTTCTCTACAGTCCACAGTTACTTTTTAAATTATGGAATTGGCAAAATACAAGTTTTTTCCCTTGATCTTTCTTAAAGTGGGAGTAATTCCAAAGAGAATTTTCTATCTGTGGCCCTTATTGGGTCATTTTCTGTGCTGACTGCATTGAAAACTGTTTCTTGGTGGGCTTCCTTTGCCTCAGTGTCATAGTTGACTGTTATAGGAAATGGAAGGGGACAGGGACAAAACGCCAGCTCTCTCTGCCAGGCACTGTTCTAGGTTTTTTGTTTTTGTTTTTTAAGATTTTATTGGGGAAGGGGAACAGTGTTGGGGAATTGGGGAAGGGGAACAGCCAAGTTGTTGTCCTGCAATCTTAGTTGTGGGGGGCACAGCTAGCTCAGCTCCAAGTCCATCCGGCCGCCCATCGGCAACTCGCAGCCGCTGAGCTCAAGGTGCCATGTTCAGTCTTAGTTGCGGGTGAGCAGAGCCCACCATTCCATGTGGCAGTCGAACCTGCAACCTTGTTGTTAGGAGCATGTGCTCTCACCAGCTGAGCCATCCTGCCACCTGTTGGCAGCTCAGCTCAGGCGCAGCTCACTGGCCCATGTGGGAATTGAACCAGCGGCCCTGTTGCTCAGAGCTCGTGCTCTTAATGAACTGAGCTATTCGGCCGGCCCGTGTTCTAGGTTCTTAATATTATTTTATCCTCATAACTCAATGTTCTCATTTTGCTGATGAAACCTGAGGTCAGAGCGTAAGACACTTAGAAGTGGCCCCTAAGCTCTGAATCCAAATCTGATTCTAAGTGTGATGTTTTTACTGCCTCTTTCGGAAAGGTTGGCTATATCCTTTTGTAGACCAAAGACCCAGAGAGCCTGCTGTAGCTGACTAAAGAGTTATTAGTTCTGAAAACATCTATGTGGTAAATTGGTCTGGCACTTAAAAATATACTGCATTATTTACTTCTCCCCACAGATCTGGAGGTTGGCGATAGTATCTTCATTCTATAGACAAGGGGTAGATTTAGAGGAGTTCAATGATTTTTAGGGTCTGCATGACTCCAACTTACATGGTTTGGCCACTAGGTCACACGTCCTCCCAGAATGCTATAGGAACTGGAGCTAGGGACCAGTGTTTCCATGCAGGAATGCCTTCCCAGCTTTTCTCTGGAAACAGATGTTTCTTGAATCTGGAATCCCCCAAAAAATCAGTTGAGGAAATAAGAAAAAGTATTAGAATTATCTGTGAATACTAAAGCTTAAAAGCATAGAGATGTTAACTGGTTTGAAGGAGTCCATCTTCATCAAATGAAAAACAAGAGCAAGAAACACTAACATGTGAAGTTGAAGGTTAGGAGAACTGGGACAGAAGCATGCAGGACAGAAATGGTCTTGCAGTGGCCCTGTCTGCTGCAAACCGTGAATTATTCTTGCAAATAAAATAAGTTTATTATATACATATTATACATTATACAAATCCTATGAGCTGTGTTCCAAGAAATAAGCTTTGGAAGCAAAATAAATTCTTAATTTGGCAGTTTTGACGTGTGACTCTTACACTGTTAACCTTGCTAGGATATGTGAATGTTATGCTATTTGCATGCTATCCAGCATCTTCCAGTGTTTAAGTATTCCCTCTAGGCTTCAGTTCTTTGTAAATATAATACAACTAAATTTAATAATGAAGAAGTGTGAAGAGTGTTTAAAGTATTTTAAGAATAGCTTAATGGTTTGGGGAATTTCTGAGAATTCTAATTTCTTGCTCCTAAATTCCAAAGCTAAGTACCAGTTGTAGATTTGTAAACACTAACCTAGACCAGAACAAACCAGGCCCTCCCCAGCCTGGGGGGGACAGCTGACTTCAGGAGGCACTATTTAGCTGCTCACTGTAGAGCTTATACTACAAGCCAGGTCTTTTCACCCCTCTTACCATTCACTTTCACTATATTGATTTCAGCTCAAAGAATGACACACACACACACACACACACACACACACACACACACACACACACACACACACACACACACACCTCTCCAATTGTGGTTTTGTTCACACACACACACACACCTCCAATTGTGGTTTTGTTCCAAGGGCAGTTAAAGGTTGAAACCAAAAGATAGCAAAAAGGGGGGAGCCATCGTTAGTGATGTTTTTTAAGGGCAGACATGAACATTTAGGGGATTAACAGGTACACTTCACTCCTGAAACTACAGAATTCAGTTAAACCCTTGGCCTTCACCTCCCTATAGCTGACTTTACTCCTTTGCTTCTGTTTTTCTCTCTCCAAACTTGCCCACACGTAGAGAATTTAAGTAATAACCCATCACATTTACATGTGAAAGGGAAACTGAATTCAGCAGTGATTATCTCTGGCATAGGAAGGGTAAGGACACGGAATCGAGACTTGGACCCGAGCGGTGCAGGTTCCGATGCGCAGAGCGAGTCCCAGGGCTGTGCACCTGTGCTGACGCACCTTACCAGGGCCAATTCCTCAGTTCATTTCCCATCTCTCACTCCTCTGTGGCCCTCAGCTAGTATTTTTTGCCCCAATGGGTCAGGTACTCACAGTAGAAAAAAGGCTCCACATCCTCTTGGTGGTAAGGAAGGGTGAGAGTATTGGTGGGCAGTGGCAGGGTGCCAGAGAGGATGGGGACCCACCATTCCTCCTCAATCCCCAGGGAACCAAGACCAGAAACCAGAGCCAAGTGATTCCTCCTCCTACCCCACTGCTTATGGTTCACTAGGGGGAAGATAGGCAACTCTTCATTCAGACGGAGCTTTTAAATTGTAAACCAGACACATTAATTATAACTTTAATATAACAAATGTTATTAAGCAGCAATTCAAACCATAAATCTTCTTGAAGGTGCACAGGATTATTACAAGGTCGGTTGGCAGTGATGCAGGTATTATCTGGTATGAATGGAATGTTGGGGTGCCTAGTCAGGGTGACCTTGCTAGGCCTTATGCTGACTTCCCAAATGGGAAGACACCCCAACCTCCTTCCCCCTCTTCCAGCCCAGGGCCTCCCTGGAGCCCAAGTGGAGAAGGTGCAGGTGCACTGTGCCAGTCCTTGCTCACCCTGGGCTTTGTCAGGGGCCCGGAAAGCAGGCCCAGGAGGTTGCTGTGCTCTCGGAAGCCAGGCTGGAAGCCACAGGCTGGACCCCAGGTCCCTGGCCCCTGCTGGGCTGGGGGCTGCCTTCTCAGCTCCCCTTCCACCTGGCCCCAGCGGAGCTTCAGTGGCAGCAGCTGTGGAGCTGAGAAGGAGAGACAGACTGCCCGTGTGAGCCGTGCCGGGAAGCAGAGAACGGAGAGCGCTGTGTGCAGGAAGTGAGGTCCCATTTGAAAGGCACTATAGGAGCTGAGGCTTAAGGCAAGGGGCATCTGAACTGTCACAGGAACCCCGAGGGCTCCCAGGTGGGGCGGGGGTCAGCCTAGTAATGGGAAAACCAGCTCCTCGGGCCTGCTGGCCCACTGCCGTCCCCTCCCTGTTCGCCCACCTTCACCTTGCAACTGCCAAGTGCGAGGCCCCAGCAGCAGTTGGCAGGGCTGGTCCCCACCTGGTGCAAACCCCTCCCCCTAGTCAAGGCACTTCTTTCCTTTTTCCAATCAAGTGAGTAAGTTTCTGTTATCTCTGGAAGCAGCAAAAATGAGGGCTTCCTGTCCCCTCCCGTTTTCTGACTTCCCTCCAGATGGGTATGAGTTTTAATGTTGGTTCTTAGAATTCTGTGTATACTCCCACCGACAAAGGCTTCCCTTTAAGGGGACTGAAGGACACAGGTCCTTTAAAATTCCTGACCTGTCCCCAAAAGTGATTGTCAGTTTCAGGGTGGGGGCAGGGGATAAGGAAGAGGATCAGGAGGTAAGTCCCCTGTGCTTCCCTGTGAGGTCAAAGCTGGTTCGCGGGCTGAGAGAAGGGGGCAGGAGCTGGACTTTCACATTCAGTTGCAGCACACGGTCCCCGGAAGAGGGCCAGGAGCGGGCGCCAGGGGGCACTGGAGGGGAGCTGTGACTGTGCGCAGCGCGCACCTGGAGGCCGGCGCCAAATGTCTGTGCCTGGAGGGTGACAGCACATGTGGAGAGAAGCTTTTGTGTGAGGGAATGTTGTTCCCTGCGTGTGTGGTGGTCTGGGGATGGGAGGCACAGGAACCTTTTCTCCACTGCTTTCAGGTTTTCAAGGGCACCTCTATCCCAGCAAGGCCAGGCCCAGCTCCGTGATAACTAAGAGGGGATGTGGCCAAGGAAAGGAAAACTTCTGGGACCTCAGCAGCTGACGCCGCAGCCTTAGTCATTGGGCTCTGGTGCTGGTACCTTCTGAGGCAGGGACCCAGCCTCTGCACTCCTCAGACCCTGAGTCCCAGAGCCTCTGCCTCCAGCTTTCACAGGCACTCTCCTACCCTCACCACCTTCTCCCGGGGCAGGGGGAGCGGCAGGGAAGCGGGAGAGGAAGCTCAGAGGGCTCCTCTCATCCATCTTCACTCATTCTGCAAGGTTCCTGTTCTCGTAACACTGTCCCTGGGAGGACTGGCTGCCCCATGAGTCAGGTGTGAGGGAAAACCAGTGGAGGGGCAGCGTGCACGTGGTGGGCGTCTCAACACACATCCCAAAGGAGTGAAAGAGGTAAGGCACGCAAAATGGGGACAAAGAGAAAGATGTAGGCCTCAGGAAAAGGGCCCCGAGCCAGGAACAGACGAGCAGTTTGAGAAAGCGTGGAGTGTGTGGGGACACTGAGAAATAGCCAGTGGGACCTTAGAGACACAGGCAGAGGGGACATGGGCCTGAGGATGCCGGAGGGCAGAATGGGCACAGCACAGAGGCACAGACCTTGACCCCCCGGAAGGCAGGCAGGAAGGGCCTGTTGCCAGGCACTTGCAGCTGTCTTACTTCCCTCCCCCAGGCCACCCTGAAGAGAACCAGCTGTCTCTCCTTTGCTTTCCAGGGCTCCTGGCATCCCGAGGGCAGTCAGTAAGGGGTGGTCCCTTCCCACTCGACCAGGTACTGAACCTTGCCCTCGGGCGTGACCCTCCGAGCCAGCACCTGGTACTTCTCCCCACAGGCCAACCGCCCAGCCGCGCCAAAGTAGTTAGTGATGGAGGACTTGAGGTGGGACAAGGACGAGTCATCTTCACTGATGCTCTCAAACGTGTGGCTGTCGATGCCCTCGTCTGGCCGCTCGGGGCCCCAAGCCCCCTCCGCACTGCTGTCCGAGGGGCAGCGTCTGCCCAGCTCGGCTGCCCGCTGCTTTGCCTGCAGTGGCACGTACGCTTTGGCTGCCAGCTTCCTCTTTCGACTGCCCACTGTCCGTCTATATCAGGAAGGGAAGTGGAAGGTGGGAATGAAATGGAAAAGTCCTCACAAGTTCCTCTCTGAGCCCTGCCCTGGGCACCAGGCGCTGGGCCGGGCCCCGGGCATGGCTTATCTCAGGGGCTCCTCACAACAGTCCTGGGAGGAGACAAACTGGCTCCTGACAAGAAACTACCAGCTGGGGAGTGACAGCCGGGATTCCAACCTGCATGTGTCCCAGCTCCAAAGCACACGTTCTATGGTTAGAATCTCTGCCCTGCCCAAGTCCAGGGGCGGCAACATCTGTGCCCCCTGAAGTCGGGCCATGCAGAGGCCCTGCGAACACTGCCTTGTCCCATCTGGACACGTGTAGCTACATGAGCCAAGTTGGGGTAGGATGGCGGCTACGGAATGAAGTCCCTCATACCCCAAAGTCTGGCCTGGAGACAGACAGACATGCATGCACACGGTGGTAGAGAACTGGACACGCACATAAGAAGCACACATTCTCATGGACTCAAGCCAAACAGCTGGTGAGAACAAAGGAACAGGAAAAAATAAAATACACAGGCAATGGCAGGCAGAGATGTTTGTGGAGACGGAAAAAACACAAGTCTACTTTTGCAAGAGCCTCAAGCTGAAGCCCAGGGTTCAGAAGAGCTCATGTATGTGCTTTGCAGCACCCCCTCCCGATGCTGCTGTACCCTCAGCTAGGCCTCAGGGATTTTGGTCCCCTCTCCCAGGCCCTACACCCTGCAGGAGGCCATGTCCCCCTCCATCAGGCTTCCAAAACGATGGCTCTCTTCCTTAGAGACCTGAAGACAGACACCAGATTCAGGTAACCAAGAACTAGGCTTTTGGGGACCCTGAAGGCAGAGGCACAGACATGCAATATCATGGCACGCAGAGGCCAAGAGCCCCAGAAAGAAAGAACTTCTGGTTGCACGACCCCTGAACTGGAAGTGCCCAGCGAGAAGTGTCACACAAGCTTGTGCAGCAGGCAGAGAGGAGCGACCTGAAGGAATGTCCATACTCCGTGCCGTGTGAACCCCATGACTTAGACCAGAGGGTCCCAGACTCACAACTGCGGAAGGCCAGGTCCCTCAGCCCAAGACTCATGACGGAATGAGCCCCACGTCAGTCACAGGAGTGGGAGGGGGTGGGGGCGTGGGGGCATCCAAACTTGGATCCGGACCACCAGGAAGCTTACCTGGAGTCGTAGGAGAGGCTGGTGGAGGCAGAGCCAGACGTGCTGGCGGCATCTGTGGAGTCCACATCTGAGAAGAAGGTCTGGCCTGAGCTGGCACTGAGGGAGGAGAGGGTGAGCCTGCCGTCAGCCCTCAGCGCCCCTTGGGACGTCTCCACACGCATCCGTCATCCCTGCAGAGGCCCGTCTTCCCACTGCTGAGCTCCCTGCCACCCCACCTGCAGGGACCACCTCCTCTCTGTCCATGTTCCACCTTCCCAGACGTCAAAGTTCCAGGAGTCAAGAAAGCCGTCCCCGACCCCCCTCCCCTGGAGGCGATACACGCCTTGTGGCAGTAAGTCAAGACAATTAATGAGCATGATCCCAGACACTTGTGCAACACTTTCCAGGCCCCAAGTGCTTTCACGTACAACATCTTGTTTGAGTCTTCTAACCACCGTGCAAAAACAGGTGAGGAGGCGCAGAGGTTAAAGAGTTTAGTTACACAGCTGGCCACTGGTGAGCGGGGGCTGGAGCCCAGTCCTGCCCGCCTGCGGCCCTGGCTCCCTCCCGCCTACAGGAAAGCACTGAATGGCCCAGTAATTTCAGAGGTGACGGAATATGCAGGCCCTCTCCTTGGGTAGATACTAAGCACAGGGTGCTGTCAGAATACACAGGAAGCGTCCAAGGCAGCCAAGGAAGGGTTAGTGAGGGCTTCGTGGAGGACTGTGATCGTGGGATACCCGCGGCAGTTTTGGTATAAGGTGTGGGCCGGGAGAAGGGGGAGAGGGATGGGAAGGTGGGGAGGGCCTGGGCAAGGCAGGCCTGGAATGCTGCTCTGCGGAGGAGTCCAGGGGAGCCCCGGAGACCACGGCAGGGGGGTGCTATGCTGAAAGCTCCCAAGTAGAGACCCTTCAGGCAGCCTTCTGCAATATGGACCCTGTTAACTAGAATGACCCCGAGGGAGCCCCCACTCCCTCGAAAGGCTTTCTGCTTTGCCCTGTCCAGAGCCTGCCTTCACTGCTGGGGGAATGGAGGTGGTCTCCCCAGTTGGTTCCATCCTGGTCCTCAGAGCAGACCTCTCTGCTGCGTCTCTCACTGTTACCTCTTTAAACTCTGAATTTCATCCAATGTGAAGTCAAATATGCTGGCCAGGTGGTGGTTGGTGCTCCAGGCCGAGGTAAAGTCGCTCTGTGGACACAGAGGAAGGGGGTGGGGGGTGGTCAGTGAGCCTCAGCTCTTCTCCCCGCTGAGGGCCACACAGGCTGCCAGGGCCTCTGCGGGCTGGGCCCTCCTGAGGGTAAGACCTGTCACTTCCTCCTTGCTCCCAATCCTGACATGGGGCCAAGTCGTATCCGCTCTAGTCCTGGCTGTCTCTAGCTGTCTGTATGACCTGCCCGTGTCTGGGTCTCAAGTTACATCTCAGCTACCACGCTTCACTCTTTGAGGTGTCAGGAAGTGCAGCCACAATGAAATGACGGTTGTGAAAGTGCGCTGTAAACTGTCATGCGCTGGGGAGATGGGAGGCATTGCTAATACTGCTGCCCAGAGGGAGGGCTTCAGTGAGGCTGCAGGGCTGCTGGAGGAGGGGGCCCTGGAGTCCTGCTTCTTGGCTGGGCTCTGCCACTGCCAGAGCTGTGACCTCAGGAAAGTCACTGGCCCTCCATGGCCCTGAGTTTCCCCACCTGGAGAGTGGGGACAAGGATATTCCCTACCCTTGCCCCCCTTCAGGTTCTGGGGAGAACTTGGGGAGATAAAGGGGTGGCCTTGCAGTGCCTGGCTTTTCCTTGTTCAGCTGTGGTAGGAGCTGACTCCTCCTGAACGGGAGGTGGGTGAGTCCCCTGGGCCTGGGGGACTTGTTTTCTGCACAGGAATCCCTAATACATGCTGACCCTGCGTGTGAAAGTGGAGAGTAAGAAAACAAGAAACTAACACTGGGAATAGCATCTTCCAGCAAAAACTTTGATCTTTTTCTTCTATAAACTCGCCTTTTCTGCTGCTGGAATTCGTGAGGCAACAAACTGTGGAGACAGAAAAAGGAGAGGGTGGCCCGGTCAGAGCCTGAAGGCTGAGGAGGTGGCCCAGAGGGAGGAGGGGCAGGGGCAGGGTTGGGGTCACAGCCGCTGGGGTGGGGACAGCTTCTTCACAAGGAGACCTCGGGAGAAAGGAGAGCCTTCTGGGGTGCAGGTGCAGGAAGGTGTGGCGGGGGCATGGTGGGCGGAAAAGAGAGAAGTGCCTCTCCAGGCACATCATCCAGACGCTCCGCCCTCCCACGCCCAGGCTGAGGGGGCTCGGCTCAGCCAGGACAGCTAGGGACCCCTGATGCTCTGACTTCCCCTTCACCTCTGCCTAAGCCCTCCTTCAGCGAGACTGGGTCCCACAAGCAAGCAAGGCAATCGGGGCTGTGGGAGAAGGAGTCGGGGTGCAGGACGAAGCCCCGGCTCAGCCACTAACGGGCCTCTCAGGGGGCCTCCAGCTGGGACTCCTGGGTGTGGGTCCTCCCCGCTTGCCTGGATGCTAGCACACTCGCTGGGCCCACCGCGTAACCCGCCAGCTGGGGCTGAGGCTGGAGCTGAGGAGCTGAGCTGGGCTGCAGCCCTGGTCCCTGGGTCCCCGGGCACTGACCCAGGCTTGCTCTTTCCTCTCCTGCGCAGCTCAGCGGAGGCGCCGTTTTCGGCGGGCACCAGGCCCTTGTCAGGCAGAAGCCGTCCTGGTGGGTTGGGCGGGACGCGGATGCGCAGGCGGAAGATGCATTTTTTCTTCTTGATCTCCTTGCCACAGAGGAACCTGCAGGGTGGGCAGAGGGAGGAGAGAGTTCGCGAGTCTGTCCGTCCATCCTCCTGGGGAGCAGAGTCCAAGCGTTAAAACTACTCTCTCTGCCTCCCTGGACCCAGAGATAAAATCCAGAGCGGCCTGAGGCGACACCGATTCCTTCAAAGCCTGTGGAGTCTCAGGTGGTGGCTGAGGAGATGGCTGGTGCTTCCTCCCTGTCCTTCCCCTGCACGTGTGTGGTTCCCGCCGCTCCTCTCCCTTTTCTTCTCTGCCTCAACCAGCCCCAAAGCCACCTCCTACAGGAAGGCCTCCTCCGGCTCCCAAGGGACGCCACTCTGTTCTTTGCTCTCCCCAAGGAGACTGAAGGCACTTCCAGGCACTGCCCCCATTCCCCCAACACTGGCTGAGCCGCCAGGAAGCTGCAGAGGTGACTCAGACACAGCTGGGCTACCCTCGGGAGACTGTCCATGGGAGGACAGGAGGCCGCATGGATTCGAGAGCAGGGCCATGTCTGGCCCCAAACCATGAGAAGGTGGAAGACAGAGTGGGTCCGTCTGCCTAGAGGTGTCTGGAGAGGCTGCATAGACGCAGGGGCCACGTCTTATTCCTCACTGCGTCATCACACCTACACAGGGCTGACACAGAGCAGCAGTTCCATAAATAAGTTGTTGACAGAACAAACAAATGAAAGGGACTGAATTGCATCCCAGGCAAAGGGAAGAGTGTGAGCAAACAGGAAAGCCAAGGGCTCAGAACCACTGACACCCACAATAAACGAAGCAAAGGGACAGTGGCAGAAGGCGTGGCAGGGACTGCTCCTAGGAGGCCTTGAACGCTGTCGACCAGCCTGGGCATTCCCCGCAGTAGTAATGAGGGACCTATCAGCTGTGTGTTCTGAGAAGAACTCAAAGTCTGGGTGGGAAGCCACGGGCCATGTGGGCCACCTGAGAGGTGAGGAGTCGATCCCTCAGTGCCTGGCCCAGACCATAGGTGGCTGGGGCAGGAGGGGCCCTCCGAGGTCAGGGGTGCAGGCCCCTATGGAGCTGGGCCCAGAACCAAAATGTGTCATGCTGATGGCGTGCTCAGGGGAGGTGTCACAGAGGAGGTGGGTGCTCCCTGGATCTTGAAGGATGGGTATGATTTACATAGTCAGAGAAGGGGAGGGACAGCCAGACAGGGAGCACAGCTTGAGCAAAGGCTACGAGGCAGGAAGAACCTGTAGACTGAAATCCCACCTGCTGGGGCCCCGCAGCAGTCCCTTCCCCGCACGCACCTGCTTTTGTAACTGTTCAGCGCGTTGAGGAGATGCGGTCCTCGGTCCGTCACAGGGGTGCTGGTGAGCTGAGGGGAGCAGGCCAACAGGATGGTCAGACCCAAGCACATGGCCTCTGAGGAGGCCTCTGCCCCACCCCCTCCCTCTCCAGTCTCCCGACGCTTCTGAGTCCTCCATGTGAGGACCAGCGACTTATTCCATGACCTCTTCACCTCTCTGAGCTCCGTTCCCATCAGTAACTGGGGAGAGCAACTCCTGTGCTAAATGTAGCGAGGGCTTTAAAAATGTCCATGCCCTTGACCCAGTGATGACCCATGGGATCTACCATACAGACAGAAAAGGAAGCACAGACAGAGCTTTATGTACAGAAATGTTCGCTGCAGCACTGTTGCCAGGCTGGGCCAATGGGACAAGTGGGAGAGAAACTATATGACCAACAGGAAGGAAACAAGTCGAAACCAATGCAGCCATTAAAAATGGTTATGAAAACTCATGATATGGAAAAGCATTTATGATATAATATAAACTGGAAAAGAAGATGATTTAAATTGTATATACTACATCATCTAAAGCACATAAAAAGAAAAAATACACATAGAAGAGAGGATGGAAGGAAATGCACCTGTGCATTAATAGTTGTTTCTGGGTTGTGTGATTGTGGGAATATGGGTGCCTTTGTTTTTTTAAGTATACTTCCTTATATTTTTTAGTGCTTTAAAAGTTTTCTACCAGGAACATGTATTTTTTTGATAAGTTAGAAAAAAGTGTTATTTAAAAAAAATACCAGCTCTACTTATCTTTTTGGCTGTATAAGTATGTTTTTTTATGAATTATCAAACACTGTAAATGAAGGTGCTATTACATGAAAATCTTTTGCAAAGCGTAAGAGTTGCTTTTTTTTTTTTAAATCCCTGTCATATCAAAGAAGGATTTGGGGCAGTCAGCCTCACTCTAGACATGGTGGAGAGGATTCTAAGAGTGTCCAGGGGGAAAGCGGGCATGGCTCCGCCACGGAAGAGGTTGGGAAGGCCCTGGCTCCAGTTCCGGCTTAGCTCCAAAGCTGTGCTGACCACTGGCAAGTCATTCTCCACCTCTGATATCCTGAAAGTTGGGTTCGTCACTCCATAGATCCCAGGCTCCCAGTCCCCTGGTGCCCACTTTTGCTATTCAAAGTAGGACCAGGAGGGGGCAGGCTCACTTCACTTTGCATCCTGGCCAGGTAGTCTGGAGTGGGTCAAACATCTCTCTGCTCCAGTCAGACTCCATCCCTAGCTCCCTGCAGCTGAATTTGTGAGGCCCTAACCTGCTTACTGCCAAAACCTGGGTCAGGAAGCCCCTTACAAGGCATGAGCTCAGAGGCGTGGACTCAGGGATGCAGCAGTTCAAAGGCTCTGGGTCTCTGTCCCAGCTAGCAGCTGAGAGTGAGTGCGCAGACCTAGATCCCAGCCCTGCACTGTGTGGCCCCGGGCAAGCCTCTCTGGACCATGGTGACCCCGCTGTGGAAAGGACTCCTGCCACTCTGCCGTCGTCGCACGGTCCTGCGTACCTTGCCAAGCTGCAGGAGCTCCCAGTGGTGGTTGACAAAGGCCAAAATCTCCTCAAAGTCGAAGTACTTCTTCTTGCTCTGCACCCCCAGGTTGTAGAGGGCCAGGTGAACCACATCCACCCTGCGCAAGAGGGCAAGGAGATGGGGCCGGGGTGAGGCAGCAGCCAAGGCTGGAGCCTCCTGGGTCAGGGCTGAAGGGCAGGGCAAGGCTGGGGCCTGGCGGTTGGAAATGGAATTGTTCCTAGAGGGAGGGGGGAGGCGAAGAGCTGGGAGGGAGCTGGGGTGGGTGTGGGCCAAGCCCCGTCCTGTCCTCTCACCATCGCAGGGGCAGCCTCTCGATGTACTCTGGGCCCTGGTTACACACGGAGCAGAAGAATAGGTAGAACCTGGCGGTGGGTGGAGAGGGGGCCTGTGGTGGGAGGGGCTCTGACACCCCACCCTCACTCTCCACCTGCCCTCCCATGGTCAGCATTGTTCTCATTCCTAGGGCTGGTGGCCTCTAGTGGGGTAAGGACAGGGCAAGACAGGGACCAAGAAATACTCCCCCACCCCTTCTAACCACCACCTCAACCCATTTCCCAAGTGTCACTGCCCTGGAGTGTGGCTTTCAGAGAGAGTGAGCCCAACCACCCTGGGCTGCAGTGGTCACCCTTGCTCTCTCTCTCTCTCTCTCTCCCTCTCTCTCTCTCACACACACACACATACACACACAATCACAAACAACATAAGACATCAAGAAACACATAATATCTTGTTTGACACACACAAGCCTCCCATTTGAGCCCCATTGCTTAGAAGCTGGATCAACTCATTCATTTACCCAGTGGCTCCTACACCAACCCTGGGCAGGGGTGAGGCAGGGCCAGTGTCGCCCCCCGCTTCTCCAGATACTTAAAAGAGACGGGGGCTTAGGGGAGGTCAGGCTTTGCCTAAGGTCCCCCACAAGTCATTGGCAACTGGGGATGTGGTCTGGAATGTTCCTCCATGGGAAGACTTCCCGTAGACAGGTGTACCCTCTCACAGACCCCCCACTTGACAAGGACCTGGCGGGCGGTCTGAAGGAGTCGCCTGCTGCTGTCCCCTGTCCCCCATCTCACACCCAAGGCAGAGCCAGACCAGATGAGCACTTACCGGTCTCCGAACATCATGGGCTCATTGAGGCACTGGGTGCAGGCCTCGTGGAACCACTGCCGGCACTGGTAGCACTGCAGCATCCGCAGGTACCATCTGAAGAGACAAAGGAGCCAAGGTCACCTAGGCCCACGCTCCCAGCCAAGCGTGAATCTCAGCAGCCTTTCCCAACATTAGGGTAAGGGAGGAGAACTCAGTTACCGAGCACTTGGCTGTGCCAGGGACGGTTCTGGGAGCAGAGCATATGCTCTCTCATTTGATCTCAGGATGGGCCACGATCCCCATTTTACAGATGAGTCAGAGGTTAAATGGCTTGCTCAAGGTTACTCAGGAAGCAAGTGGTGGAGGGTGCTTCAAATCCTGGCATCCCTCACATTAAAGCTGGTGATCTTCCACCATAGCACACTGTAGCCCCCATATCTGGACTGTGTCCCCCACATGGCTTCCCAAACACCACTGACAAGGAAGGGTTTGCCCAGGAGACCTCATAGGAGAACAGCGGCTCCTGTAACCAACATGGGCAGCACTACGTCTGGTTTTTCTCACCTGGTACTGTATTTACCCTATCATGGCCATGCAACGACGACTCACTGAATATAAACATAGAGCAAAACGCGTTTCCTTAATTGCAGTCAATGCTTTGTTCACATCTTTCAGGAGTGGTCCATGGACCACTGGCATCAGAGTCACCTGGGGTCCAGGTTAAAATGCAGACTCCTTGGACCACTTCAAGCCTATTCAACCTTTGGGGGAAGCCCAAGGAGATGATTTTTAATAATCACTCTGGGCCACTGCCTTCATGCTGTAAGCATTTCTCTCTGTTATCCTACAGGCCTTTCAACACCCAGGGAAGTTGATGGGGCCGAGGTTATTAATCTCACTTGAGAGATGAAAGAATTCAAGTGAGCGATTTGCCCAAATTAGCCAGGGTGGCTGAACGCACAGCCTCCAGACTCCCAGTGCTTGTCAACAAAGCTCGGGGCTAAGATTAGGACTTCAAGGTGTCGTGTAGGCTGAATTTCCTGAGGGCAGAGATCCCACCTGTTACTTCTGTGGCGGCAGTCAGGCCAGGGAGCAGGCTCAACTACCCTGGCTACATGGAGGCCCAGGCCACAAGGAAGAGTCAGGCGAAAACTCCTGCCCTACAGCCAGGACAAGAATCCCCTCCGCAGTATCCCCAATGTACGACCCCCACTCCCTGCCTGCACACCTCCGAGAGAAGGATCTGAATATCTCACCAGCTCTGACAATGGAAAGGTTGGTCTAACTTCTGTTCACCCCCAGTAACAGCTCACATTTAAGTGCTCACCCAGTGCCAGGCACTGTGAAACCCTTTAGGTCAATTATCTGATTCAGGCTCTACTCACAACTAGCATTAACAGGAAACTATTACGAAAACTGAGGCTCAGGGGCTGCACAGCTGTAAGGGGCTGGGAGAATTGGGACACTGGGGCCCGGCTCTTAACCTTCAATACTTCCTTCTTTTCCACTAATGCCCCAGGAGAACACCTCCACCTTCAACGGCCCGCTTTGGGAGAGCTAGCCTCGCCACCTTGAGCCCCGACCTCGGGTCTTATCCTTAATATTCAGGCTCTTCCCTCGAGCCACGCCCCCTGGGGCTCTGTGGCCGCGGCCCCGCCCCCGGGGCCTGACACTCTCGGGTGGCCCCCGTTGGGCCCGCCCTGACCCTGACCCTGCCTCCTTACTCTCCGGGCCCGCCGCAGTAGCAGTAGCATTGCTGCTGGTTGGTGCGGTGGGGCGAGTCCCACTCGAGCTCCTCCGGCTGGTAGGACAGCACCATCTTCACAGCCTGCAGCGTCCTGGCGATGGCACCCTTCTTCAGCGCACCGCCTTTCTGTGGGAGATGAGGGGTCCCGGTTGGGCCACAAGGGACATACCCATTAGGGTGATCCTCAGATTTTCCAACGTAGTCAGATGCAAGGAGCTTTTTCTCACCAATCCCAATCCATCCTCTCTATCCCAGAAGGATCTCCATTAATAGTAATAAGCACAATAAAGACAATAACCAATGAGTGTGGGCACATACATGGTTTCTTTTCATGTTAAGGCTCCATTTATTCGGGGCCTCCTACTCCTGACACCACATCGGTATACATTTTACAGCTAAGGAAACTGAGGCTCAGGGAGGCTAAGGGACCTGGCCAAGGACATACAGCTGGTAAGTGGCAGCAGCGCTGTCTGCCTCCAAAGCCCTGGCTCTGTGACCAGGAGTCAGGCCTGAGCCCAGGGAGTCACTGGGCTTCGCACTGGAGGGGGGGAAAAGGCAGGGACTAGAAGCATGGGGGGGCTCACCCGCACAGCCAGCGCGAAGATGCAGCGTCGGCAGAACCAAGGTGTGAGCAGGGGCCGGTCGGCACTGCCTGCTATGGGGATGTGGCACTGCTGGTGGTAACCTAGGCAGAGGAGGGGAGGTGGGTGCCCACAAGGACGCAGTGGCCCAAGGCCAGTCAGCCCAAAGGCGGCTGGGCTGGGGAGGGCTGTAGCAAGTCCTAGGAGCTGTGTGCCTGCCAGCTGCCAGGGGACTGGCTGGCCATTCTCACCAAGGCAGCCAAGTTGGAGTCCAAGCAGGTGAGTAAACGACAGCCTGGACCCCAGTGGGGGACGCCCCAAGGCCTGGCTTCAGCCTCTGTGCCCCATCTCTCCCACCCATCCTCTCCACCCAAGGGAGCTCCAAACTGCATAACTTGTCTCACTTTCCAGAAGCCCCAGCTCTCCCCAAGGGTCATCTCTCTGGGCCCTCACTCCCAGAGACTGGCCCCTGTCACTCTGGAGCGCCAAGGGAAACAGGAAGCCAGCTAAGGCCCCAACAGTCTGAGGAAGTGCCTGCCAGGGGCCAGCCAGGGGATCGGGCCCTCTGTGTCCTGCTCATCACACTCACCCAGGCCACACTTCCCACAGATGAGGATCTCATTCAATGGCCCTGATGTCTTCCCCAGACAGATGTTACACTTGGGTTCCTCCCCTGGAACACCAGCTGAAAGAGAGAGAGGGGCCCTCTGGGTCAGGTCTGGCTGGCGGGAATTAGATGAGTTTTAAAATCACTTTCCAGGTGCTGAGCCTCTGCATGCTGGGCCTAGCGCTGGGCCCCATATGGCAACACACTGACTCTCCCCAACACTCTGAGGTCCGAGGTGTCTACTGTCATTACCCCCTTCTAAAGATGAGTGAATTGAGGCTCAGAGAGGTTAAGTCCCTTGCTCAGCTAGGAAGCAGGAGAGGTGAGATTCGAACCCATAGCTGTTTGACATCAAATCCTTTGTTCTTTTGACCATGTCGTGCTGCCTCTCCTGCCTAGTTTAACTTGATTTGTTAAACAGTTTTTTGGGGGGTTTTTTGTTTTGTTTTTTTTGTGGGGTTTTTTAAAAAAGTTTTTTATGTTAAATAATTTTTAAAATTTTTATTATGGAATAATAATAGACAGAATGCTATAATGGAACTCTATGTTCTCATCAACAATTATAAACTCATGCCCAGTCTTGTTTTGACAACACTCCCATCCACTTCCCCCTCCTGTATTATTTTGGATCAAGTCTCAGACACCCAATCATTTCCATAAATATTTCAGTATGTATCTCTGAATGATTAGGACTCTCTCTCTTTTTATTTTTTTTTAAAAAGAGAAAAACCACAACTACAGTAACTTTATTATACCTAAAAATTAAAAATTTCTTAATATCATCAATAAATTCAGTTAGTATTCACATTTCCAACTGCCTCAAATAAAAATGTTGTGTTTGTTCAATTGCTTTAAAACTACAGGTTCCATCTTTTTTTTTTTTTCCTCTGCATTTTTTTTTATATTGTTGAAGAATAAACACGTGTTCAGGTATGAAAGATTTGGGTGGAAAAACTAAATACATGTTGGCTTGTGTTTCTGTCCTATTTCCCCTAGCAGACTGAAAGTTTTGCAAGAGCAGAAATGGGGTCTGTTCATCAATGTGTCCCCAGGACGTGTACAGTGTGTGTGTGGCACATAACATGCGCTGAAGACATGTTTGTTGAGTAAAGGCTCTCTTGCCTCTTATTCCTGAATATGCCCCCAGGAAGGCGGTGCCTGTAAGCCCTCGGTGGCTTAAGGAGTGATGGATCAAAATCTATGACGTGCTCAGCCTCAAGCTGTCACCTTGAGAGGCGCCAGAGGGGCTGCCATCGTGCCTGTGAGGAGCAGTTACCTGGCTGGGGAGCCAAGCCATTCCCCAGGTGAGCACTGCAGCAGTGCCGTGGTGCCTGGTACACAGTGAGCCTTCTACTCAAGGTCTGCTAAAGTGAACTGTCTTTACTCCTCTGCTGGTTTCTTACGCTTTCAATAAGAGGGTAACCAGGAGAGAAGAGCCTCATGTTTCTGGATCTTTATATAATAAATCGAGGTGAGAGGGGCTGGGAATAGAATCAGTCTGCATTGGCCACAACATCTTGGAGAAGAAGGCAGTGTGGAAGCTCTAATAACTGCCTGGGCTCTGTGGCCTTGACTTGGCAGGGTCCTTGAAATTGTCTCTAACAGTAACAAATTCTTTAGAAACTGCCCCTTTGTGACTCAATAGCACTGGACTAAGCATTTTACGTGGATTATCTCATTTAATCACCCTGTGAGGCCAGTACTTTCATCATCTCCTTTTTTTAGATGAAGAGACCGAGGGTCAGAGAGGTTATGTCACTTGCCCAAGAATACGCAGCTAGCAAGTAGCAGAGCTAGAACTTGGTCCAAGGAATATCTGACCTTCACACCTGCCTTTCCCCTCGTCCCACCACATCTATTCTCCTATTAGAGCACAAATGGCAAATAGGTTTCTTCTCTCATGGCAACTCTGATTGGCCAGTAGTGATTGCTGGGAGCTCCATGTTGAAAATATGAGTGCTGTGACTGATTATAGTGACGTCTGTTGTGTACACGGGAAGGGAAAATGGCGGCAAGAATGCCGGCAATTTGCCATCTCTGTAAGACAGTGTCAGCCTCCGAGGGCAGGGATGGTACCCAGCCCAGCTCCCTTTCGACCCTGAAAGCTGATCTGGCTCCATTGGGCATGTCCATCTTTACCTGGCCGGGCCCATCTCTGCTTTCCTGGTCTTTCCCCCATGGACAGAGCTGCCTCCACTAGCTTTTTTCACATGTGGATAGAGGATACTAAGCTCACATCTAGAGGTGACAATTCTGATGGCCTGGGCCTCTCCCTGTTCTTAGCCCAGAGTGACCCAGGGCTTTGTGCAGCAGGAGACGAAGCACAGCAAGGAGGCAGAGACAGGCCTGGGACCCACCCCTGCTCTCCTAGCACCTCCCACGCCTCTCTCTCCAACTGCCTGCCTCCCTCACGAGGTGTGAGTACTCAAGGGGAGGATGGATATCATAAGCGCCTATCCACGTGAACACACAACTGATAAAATGATAGGCTTTTCAGGTGGGGTTGGGGGTCCATGGACAAAGGTCAGATGCCAGGTGTAAAGAGACAGAAGGAGAAAAGGAAATATGGAGGTGGAGAAGGAGAGAGGACCCAGGGTGGGGCAGGGGTGCCCTAAACCTTAGGACCACTCACCATGCTGTATGTCCTTCCACAGGACCCAGTATTTGGAATTGTCTTCAAAAGTCACAAGGCAGCTCTGCTTTGAACTGCTGACCTGGGTCGGGCACAAAGAAGGAGGAACAACGTGAGAAAGCGGCTGGGGAACAGCTGGGGAACATGGTCTTCCTCTCCTATTTTTGTCCCCGCAGGGCACAGGGATTAATCAGACCCCCTCCTTGTGCTCCAGAAAGTAGAGCTTGGCCAGAAGGGGAAGGAGGATGGCAGCTCCTGGAGGTAGTGAGCACTCCGTCACCAGAGTTGTATCGTCAGGGACTGGGGGACAACAACGCGGTGGGAATGCTGAGGACAGAGCAAGCCAGACGGTCATCTATAGTCCTCTCCAATCTGATTCTTTTTTGTTTTGTAGCCTCACAGAGCATTTTTCTAAAGAACTGGTAGGGTGATATTGGCTCTAAGGATGGAACCTGCTAAAAGCTCCTTCCACGTTCTGCTTCTGAGCATGAGGGACAACAAGGGAATGTTCCAGCAATCCCCCATCCTCCATCACCAGTCTGAGGCCTGGGATAGAGGATGAGCAGAGAGATGCTGAGCCTGGGAACAGGGGCTAAGGAGGAAAGGTTTACCCTCTTGATCTTCCCGAGGTAATACAGTCCATCTGTCCACCGGCAAAGCACATACTGGCCTTCTGTCAGCTTGGACATCAGGTCTTTGAAATTGTTCTTGGCTTTTGCCAGGGCCCCCTTGTTGGGGAGGTGGCTGGTGGCACCATAGGAGTCCCGAGTCCCTGGGTCCAGAGCTCGATTCTCCATCGGTTTCCACTGACACTGGAAGAGAAAGAGAACTGGCTTTTTACTCCTTGCTTCAGGGGCGGGGGAAGGACGGGAACTACCATATATGTAACCTGTGCTATGTGCCAGGCACTTTTATTCTCCCACTGGATCCTCACGATAACCCTGTGAGGGAGACAGTATGATTCCCATTTTATAGGTAGGGAAACTGACGTTTGGCAAGGGGAAACGGCTAGCGGGTCCAAGGCAGAGCCATGGTTCATCATCAGGTGAGCTGATTCGAAGCCCTGCTCTCTTTCCCACCCACACCATGCTGCCTTCCACAGAGAACAAATCTCTCAGCCAACCACAGAGAAAAGTCTCCCTCCCCTGTGGCCTGAGCCGCACTCCCTGGCTTTGGAGCCTAAGGCTTTATCCATTAGGCTAACATACTCTGTGCTGTCTGAGTGGAGGGCCTTCTCCAGGAGAGCAGCTAGAAGTCTATACTCTCCACCCCTACCCTGAGAGCTGGCAGAGAAAACTCACCCAGAAAGGAAAACTCCTGGGTGGCTTGTGAACTGGTATAGACTTGGCCATCTGCGTCTTCTCTAATCCCCTTTTCTGTTCTCAATTAAGGGATGATTTAATGGAAACCAATGCTGGGACCTTTAAACTCACTTATGCTTTTACTCAGATGCAAATTTGCTCCAAGCAGTTGCCACCCTCTCTAAGCCAGTCTCTCACCAGCCTATAAAATGCACTGCTCCCCCACTGCTTTCACTCTTCCTGCTAGTGGTACTCCTGGAGTCCCCAGCCTCTTCCTGGCCAGTCCAGACACATGTCTCCAGGCCCCCCAGGGGAGGGAAACGTAGCACCCCCCCCTCCACCACCACCACCACCAGCATCTTAGATTCTCTATGATTTGCCACAGCGGGCCAACTTCAAGCACAGTGACTTCTGGCATCCTGCTGTCTTTTGCATTCCCTTGTCCTGGTCTGAGTTAGGGCCTCACCTTGCCTGGGGCATTCACTCATTCAATAACTGTTTCCTGAGGCCTGTGCTCACCTATGCTGGGTACCTGGCATGGGCAATGGTAGCACCAGTGACCAGTGCTAAACAGGCCACGCCCTGCTTTTCTGCCTCCCCAGCAGGCTCTTCCACAGAGCCACAGGTTCCCATCTTCTTCTTCCTCCCAGAAAACTTGAATGGCATTTGAAGCCCTCCCCGAGGTCCTCTACTCCCTTTCCTGGGCTCACCTGGCTCCATGCCCCCCCACACACTCTCCACTAAGCCAACCACTACCTCCCTGTGTTCCCTGCACCGGCTCCTCTGGTTCCCTCCCTCTGCCATGGCGCTGGGCACCAGGTGTGATGTCTACCTGTACACAGGAGGAGAGTCCCGTGTGTTATCCGTGTGAGGACGCGTGCACTCCTGTGAGACTGTGTTTGAGGTCTACAGCAGTTTGTCAGTGAGCATATGAAGCTAAATACAAGTGTGTGCATGTCAGGGACTCGCGGGCAGGCAGGGCGCTGCTAGGGTCTTGGCTCTCGGGACCGCGGCGCGGCCTCCCCCATCCGAATCGCGTCCCCATTCCTCTCTTTTCTCCAAGGCACAAGGCACAGGCACGGGGCAGGGTATACGGTCCGAATCCCTGCTTTCTCTCTGCCACCTGGCTCCCGGGCGCTGCGAGGTCCCCGCCCGCAGGGCCTGAGGCCCGGACCGCGGCAGGTTCACAAACTGACACTTCCTCTCCCGCCGCGCCGCTGGAAGCGGGCCGGGTCGCCGCGCCCCCACAGGCCTGGCTGGGGGCCCCCGGGTGGCGGCCCCCCAACCCGAGCCTCCATTCCCCCCCAGAGCGGGCCCCCGCGAGCTGTGATTGGCTAATTCAAACCCATCTGCAAAGAAATGCCTCTTTGCGGGTTCTCGTCGGCGTCCAGTTCAAATCCGCGGCACCGGGAGCCCGGGGCCGGGCGGGGGCAGGAAGCGAGGATGATTCATGCGCCGGGGCCTCTCCCAGGGCGGCCGTTGGCTTTTTTAAAAGGGTGTTCGGCGGTGGGGGGTGAGGGGGAGCGGGGGGAAAGCTTGCAGGAGGACCCCCTTCGGGTCCAGCGCTCCTCTCTTCCGTCGCTCTGACGCCGAGCTTCCCCCGTCCCCATTCTGCCGCTGCCTGACTTCGGACGTGAGCAAAATCCCAAACGCCCCCGTGGTCTCCACCACACCCCACCCCGCCTCCAGCAAGAAAAGTAAAGATTTGGGGCAAGGCAATAGCGACCTGTCACCCACGGACCCCCAAAGGCTCGGAGACCCCGGCTGGACTCCTGCCGCAGGCAATGGTCACCCCCCGCCCCCGCCGGTCCCCCAGGAGCACAGCTCCCTAGGACTCCACCCCCGCCCCCCGGAGTCATTCACACAGCCCAAGTTCAGGGAGATTGCAAAAGAGGGATGTGTGCAGTGAGGGAAGAGTGTGGCGGGGAGTCCCCGGCCCGGCCGGCCGCCTTCAGCGCTGAACTTACCGCGAGCCTGCGTGTCCGCCGGTCCCACTTGGAGTCTGGCCACCAGGCGCATCCGCGGAGGAGGCGGCTGCGCTCGGCCTGCGGCTGCCGGGCCGAGTGTCCGCCCGTGGGGCCGGGGTCGGGGTCTCG